ATTGTAAATTATGAGAATAAAATTGTAAATTATGAGAATAAAGTCATAATAGTTCAAGAAAAAAGTCGTTATGTTATTAAAATAAAGTCATAATATTATGAGAATAAAGTCATATGAGTATAAAAATCCTAATTTTATGAGAAAAAAAATCAATTTTATGAGAATAAAGTCATAATATTACAAGAAAAAAGTCACAATATTCGGAGAATAAAGTCATTACAAGAATCTTTACATGAAAAGTCTTACCATTGCATTAAAATGATGAMTGTTGAGCAACTTGTGAAGTYGTTCCTAATCTTTTAGCACATGAGCAGTRGCAGGACTTTGAAASGATTGTGCAAACGACTCTATAAACTGAAGCAGTATTGTRATTAACGGCTGCACTGACAGGTTCAGTCATCACATAATTTGGATGAACTCATTTTACACAAACAGTAACCCAAAAGTCATCACAGTCTATAAACACAGAAACACACACAACTGTCCACAGCAGGGAAATGAGGAGGAAATGAGGAAAAGAATCAGAAATGGAAAATGTACATGTTATGTAACATTATGAATTTATTCTCATAATTTAAAAATAATTGGGTGGTCCTATACTCAGTTGTAGTATGCTCTATTTTATAAACATACAAGAAACTTCATTTTTAAAATATAAACAATATGTAAACAACAGGTCTGTAGGAAGCATTGCTACATGTTTATTTTTTAAGTCTCCTTCACATACGGTCAGAAAAAAATTCAACTTTATCACAATAATTAAAAAGAAGAAAGACTCATCCAAGAGGAAAGCTTCRTACTGAACCAAAACATCTGGAAAGGAAAAGGTTACGCAGCAGAAGATGTCAGTCTGTCTCACCTTGACGTTTGGCTTCCTTGTTGAGAATCCTCTGAACCATCCTGCAACAGGAAACGAGAATCAGTGACTCCGACTGAAAAACTGACAAATTAAACGTGGTTCAGTCTGTAATTAAAAATACTGAAGTCAATCTCACTCAAGCAAGTTATTCTTCAAATAAACCGCAGCAGTACGTGATGGTCCAAACACATTTAGATCATAAAATGTTTTGTTTCGTACCCAATTATAACTAAGGCAAAAAAAAAAAAAGATTTAAATACATAAAATTAAAATGCATTTGGAATTTTTTCAGATATAGGTTTTTTTTTCTTTTTACCTTCCAGGATGACAGGAGTTTGACTCTGAAGGAACTGATGTTAAACTCTTACAGATGAGGGGTGACCAGTTGAAAAACTGTAAACCTTAAAATATTTAAAGCTGAACTTCGGCTGTTTCAGCTGATGATGTAATTAACAAAATGTTCAGGTTAAATATACATATTTAGTGCGTTGCTGCCAAAAGAAAGCACAGTAATAATTTAATATAATTTGAGGCTGCAGTGACAAAACAAAGACAAGAGAGGTCTCTGTTGTTTTGTGTGCATGTGTGTGTGTTTGTGTGTGTGTGTGKGGGGGGGGGGACTTGATGGACTAGTAGTTGATGTAAGAGTACACTGCATGTTATGAGCTTATGACCGTGGTTGTCAGAGTCAGACAGAGATGCTGACAGACGTGAAGCCTGGAAGCTGCAGACAGATTCAGTCCACTGCTCTGAACTGTGAGTGGGAGGCTGCATGAATGTGGGGGCTGTTTTTATTTCTCTCTCTCTCTCTCTCAAGGACCATCATGCAAACTTATTTTCCTAATTTGCAAAACATTTACATGAACATCACAGAAAGAAAAGAAGCTCTCGGGAACAGGCACGAACAGATCCCACATCTGGAGAGGCGTCATTAATTATGCAGAACCATTTATGCAAATTTTAGAGCAACATATGCTCCCATCCAGCAGGAAAAACCCAGCAAAGACCCGGGACAGATAGAGTCCTGCAGCAGACAAGAATGCAACAACATCCCCTCCAGTTTAACTAATCTATTTCATGAATTTGTACGATGATTATGATATCTTGACGTCTTTTGAGTAACGTGGTCTTATAGTGCAGATGATGATGATGATGATGATGATGATGATGAGATCTGAGCTGTGACTAAAACAAACAGTTAAACCTAACAACACAAACAGCAGCAGTGATCTGTCCCAGCTCAGACTCAGTCCTGGTCTCAGAATCAGACTCGTGACCCACTGAACTGGGTCAAGTTCTTACAACTGATGAACCTTCTTCTCCAGTGAGTCTCAAACAGCACTACTTTCACACGGACGAACAGCCATCAGGTGTCTCAGCAGAGCGGAGAACCTGAAATCTGCACCYGACAGCTGAAAACGACTCATTTCCAGGAAGGGAGGGGTTCAAGGGAAGGTAGTTCTTAGCTGAGCTGTAAAGTAACTAAGTACAAATACTTTGTTACTGTGCTTGAGTAGAAATTTTGGTTATCTGTACTTTAATTGAGTTTTCAGCCTACTTTTTACTTCTATACTCCTTGTATTTTTCACACAATTATCTGTACTTTCTACTCCTTGAAATTAAAAAAAAAAGGTAAGAAGTAGAAAGTCGTTGCTGGTATTTCATTATGGCTCATTATTGTTTAAAAAATGCTATTCTGATAAATTGCACCACCTGGATAGAGTGAATTCAATTGTATTTGGATGAGAAGTATACAAATATATTATTCTATTTATCATTTATCATTATTCTATATCATTCTGACACTGTATTAGTTTGTACACATTCCATCACAGCTGCACGCTATTTAAAAATGTCTTTTTAGGTCACCTCCCAATAAAGGTCATTTTTGAAAATCTGACTATTCATTTTTACTCAGTACTTTTACTTTTAATACTTGAGTATATTTCTTCTGAACTGTAATTTCCCTTTGGTATCATTAAAGTTTTTAATTGTTTTTATGTCAAAAATGACCAAAGTACCAATACTATCTGATACTTTAAGACTTTACTCAAGTAATATTCWTAGAGGACACTTTAACTTTTACCAAAGTATTTTATTCATAAGATACATGTGCTTTTACTCAAGTATCACTTTGAGGTACTTTATACAACTGTATTTTTTAGAAATGTAAGGGTTAGGTTACTCACTGACAGGCAATTATGATGCATTTTGCTTTAAACAAATTAGACTTAAACAGCAATTAATTTAACTTTTAACAAAGTGACGTTATCAATGAGATRTCTTCTTTAATTTGTAAACCAAAAGCCTTTTAAGACTTTTCAGAAAAGAAGTTTAAAATCTCCACAGAAAGCTCCTGAAACAGTGACTCCTGAGAATGCTTCAGTGGTGTCATTAATCTGAGCCTGACAGGACACTTCACATCAACATCCATCTTATCCTGCAAAATCATGACATCAATCTCTCGGCGGCTCGTCTTAATCTGATTTGAATATGGAGATGGAGGTTTAATTGGCTCCGTAATTAATAACCAATCAGGATGCATTTATCAGCAGCGTAAAGATGGCTGTGTTTGCTCCCCGGCCTCTCATCTATATGATAATCAGACAGAAGCAGCTCTGAATGGGGCTGCTGCTAAAGGTTAAAATCACGGCTGTTTCTGCTGATGAATTTATTTGTAAGAAATTAAAAAAGACTGGATGATGACACTTCCAGGCAGCAACATTATATATATTTGTGGAAGCAGCAGACCAGGTGTTTGTGTGCTTCATTTGTGTGTGCCCAGGTGCAGATTTTTTGTGCAATTTTTTTTAATAATGCAACTTTTCCCTGAAGAAGAGTAATCATTTCCCTCCCACAACCAAACAGCTCACACAGCTGCTATTAGAGTAATGGTTTTTGCACCATTATCAACTTAATCCAGAATAATATTCACTATAAATCATTTCGAGAGAGAGAGAGAGAGAGAGAGAGAGAGAGAGAGAGAGAGAGAGAGAGAGAGAGAGAGGCAAAACTCTGGGGGACTCTTCGGTTGCGTTAACAAAAAGACAACTCATGATGGAAACTGCATTACTCAACAGATTCCCATCAGCTAATCAAACCAGACGGTTGTAAATGACGCTTCGTGCTGCGGCAGAGCCCACCACCAGCGAGGAACAACAAAAGTGTTTGTTGATGTGGTAGTAGGACCCGGGAGGATTATTTTCACTGTAATTTCAGTTCTGATGGTGATTCAGTGGAGGTGTGAGCTGCAGCTGAGCCACATGCAAACTGTACACTGCTGCACGTGCACAGACCTAATGTTGTCTGAAGGATATATATTTACTCYCCGGCGCCAAAGGTGAAAGGCAGTCAAGTATTTGTTTGTGTGAGTTTGTGTTATATTGTCTGTTTTGGCTCAATATTTTATGAACTACTGGAAAACAATCAGTGGATGTACAGCTGATCACATTTTGGAATCCAGATAGTCGCCACAAACCATGTGAAACAAAAGCAGCTTTGATTTAACAAATTAAAAATATTAATCTCAAATTTGGTGCGGTGTTGATTTTTTTTTTTTTTTGAGGAATTTTGTTACAAGAAAAAATGAATATTTTTAAATGTCTGTTAAAGTAAACATATCATGCATTTAAATCCTTATTTTTCTCATTTAAAATCATTCACGGGGTCTCTATAAAGTGGAACTGCAAAGCTTTGGTCTGAATTCCTCCTTATTTTAACTCCACAAGCCCCGCCCYTTTTCTGAGGCGTGTCTCAGATCAGCTCATTTTGAGGATGTCTCTTCAGATCCAAGTGTGGTGCTTCACTCTCCGCCCATCTTCCAGCTTATAGCGAGGATCATTCCAGTTTGATAAAGGGTTTTATGATTATATAGCTTTGCAGAAATTTTTTTTTTTTTTTTACAAATGAATTAAAAGATGTCAACAACAGAAGACWTGCCCATCCAGGCTTACATGTTGGAGCCAGAGTCTGACCCAGAACCAGAGGAGAATGAAGACCACCAAACTGCAGTCTGTAAATCCAGACCTTGATTGTCTGTTTTGTCATAAATATGATGTAATAGTTCAGAAAACATCATGAAAAATAGAGAAAACTGAACGGGTTAAAAATCTGACCCAAACAGAWTATAAAGATATCTTTGCAGCACCAGGAGAAACTAAATTCAAATTTTCTGCCTCTTAGACACTCCATGTACACAACAAAATGTATTTATAAAGACAAAAAAAGTGACTTTGCATGATATGTCCCCTTTAAAACAGTTGAAACAGGAAAATGCTGCTGCAGTGGTACAAACTTACACTGCAAAAACTGTCCATCTTCCCAAGTTTTAAAAATCTTATATCAGCCAAAATGTCTTTTTGATCTTGTTTTGAGACTGATTTACTAAACAAGAACTGATT